GCAGCCGGTCGGCCCCGGGCCCCGCTCCGCCCGCCGGCCCCGCCGCCCCACGGCTCCCGCCCGCCGGCCCCGCAGCCCTTTCCCCCGGCCAGGCCCGAGGCGGCGTCAGAGCCCCCGCACACCAGGCGCCCTCCATTTACCTTCATGTGCTTTCTGAGGGAGCTGGGGTGCGTGTAGGACTTGTCACACATTTTGCAGAGATAGGGCTTGTCGGAAGTGTGCACATGCATGTGCTTTTTGCGGTCGCTGCTGTTTGCAAAGCGCCTGTCACAGCCCTCGAATTCACACTTAAATGGTTTTTCACCTATTGCGGAGGGAAGGGGGGGGAAAAGGGATCTGATTAAGCAGGGCCGGCCGGATCGCTCATTGTCCCCATCGCCCCGCCGGACGGCAGCCCAGGGCTCCATTTCAAACACTACCAACTTTCTAACTTCAACAAGCCTCAAATCCCAAAACCCGGCTTCTCTGCTTCTGTCCTTTCCACACCTCCGGCCCCTGCTCAGCGCCCATTTCTGAGGAGGGGGAGGGGGAAACTGAAAAACTTTTTTTTTTTTTCCCCCCTTTGGAGGGGCGAGTTTCATTCGCAGCCCCAGCCCTGGGCATCTCTTACTTCTCGCAACGCTCCAAGCCGGAGAGCAGGCGTGGTGGTATTTACACGCGATCCTCAGTGTCTAGTTTCCTCAACAAGCCTCAAATCCCAAAACCCGGCTTCTCTGCTTCTGTCCTTTCCACACCTCCGGCCCCTGCTCAGCGCCCATTTCTGAGGAGGGGGAGGGGGAAACTGAAAAACTTTTTTTTTTTTTTCCCCCCTTTGGAGGGGCGAGTTTCATTCGCAGCCCCAGCCCTGGGCATCTCTTACTTCTCGCAACGCTCCAAGCCGGAGAGCAGGCGTGGTGGTATTTACACGCGATCCTCAGTGTCTAGTTTCCGTTTTTATAGCTCATTCTCGTGATATTTTTAAGCTCCCACTCATCCCAGCCCCCTCCCCCGTATTTTCTCGCAATGTTGAAAATTATCCGGCCGGGGAACACGATGCGAGGGCAGCCCCACGAACCCTCTGCAAAAAGCGCTCGGGAAAAAGCGGCGCTGGGTTTCGGCGCCCGGGGGTGGGAGCTGGGGGAGAGAGCTCTCCCAGCCCGGGGCTGCTGCACTGCCACTTCCCGCGGGGGGGAAAAGTTCTCCGGGATCCCGGCGCCTGCCCTCCGAACAACAATAACACACTAAACGCGCCGGGCTCGGTTTATTTAAAATCGCTCCTCGGAATTAAATATTTACCAAGCCCTGAATTGCGGGGAGGAGACGGATGAGCCGCCTGCAATATTTAGCACAATTTCTCATGGTGGCACAATCAAAACTGCCGAACAACAATTAATTAAAACCTATAAATTTAAACAGGACAGGTTG